TTTTTTGTGGGAATATATATGTGTTTGTTTTTCGCCCCCCGTCTTGCTGCACCCCCTGGGGTGTGGTGCAGGGCGGGGGATGCCTGGTCGGCGGGAACCCGGCACGGAACCCTCCGGCGTTGTAGGCGGGTGTGGGAAGCGTTCCCCGTTCTCCTTTTATTTTATTTTGATCGGTCTCCTCGACGCTCTTTCTCGTTTGGTGCGGTAGCTGGTCTTTCTTTCTATCATTTTGTTTCTCTTCCGAGTGGTTTTTGTACCCTATTTTTTTCTGTTTCTTCGTGGGGTCGTGTATGCCGGGTTTTGAGACCACGGGCTCCCAATCTTTCTTTTTTAGAGCTAATGTGAGAAACAACAACAACAACACAACAACGTACAACCAGAAGGAATCAGAAGCTGTACGAACAACGTTCTTTGAGTCAGACAATGTTTTCAAGGAAAGATTCTCCGCCTGCTGTGACCAGCCGGAGGAATCACGAATATGTGAACGGTGCCCCAAGGCTCACTTTATATTTGACCTTAATTAAAACTAGCACGGCCGACCAATGTCGGCCACGCTTGGCAATTCCTCGCCACATTGCAACAAGAGCGAAATACCTCCGCTGGTGAACGGTTAATCACCCCTTCAGGGAACCTTACTCGGTAACATCGAAAGGGAAAAGTATTCTCTAGAACATGTTGTACAAGGCAAGGTCAGCTTGTTGTTGAAACGCTACTGCTGTCGTAGGCAAAGCGATCAAGTCTCACGGGCAAGGCAGTAAAACAGACGGCTCCGACGCAGTCAATTTCTAGGCAGGCCGTCAAGCACCGAGCAGAACGACTCTGTGTTCGGCCGTTCGGTTCTCGTGAGTCATGGCCATGAGCGGCACCCCGATAATTGTCCGAACCACAGGTGCGCCGAGTTTTTCTTGGCGATGCAGAACGCCATGGGGGTACACACGTCGTGGGCTGAGCTCGGTTATGACAGCCTCGTCGCGTGCCGAGAGCACCTTGAAAGGTGATCATTTACGTAGATGGAGCGGTGGAGGTTGAGATCGACACGCCCATGCGTCGTCTTTGCTCACGTCTGGGCCCCTTTGATGTTTTTTAGCTGATACATGCGCTGCCTCTTGTTGCGTTGGAATGCATCCGGTGTGTTGAGTTCGCAGGATACTGCTTGTACGCTTGGGCCATGTTGCACAAGATTGATGTCCAATCAAGGATTTTTACCCCCCGTCAGTTTTATGCTTGTCGTTTGTCTTTCGGGCGTGTTACTGTATTCGATGAAATTTATTGTTGTTGAAACCGATTTTTCTCTGATCGGCCTCTGGATAATTTGAGGTTCGTCATGTCCAAGATCCACCCGCTGGCGTTCGGCAGCAAGCTTGACGGAGCCGTGGATGCTTCCATCTCCGCCCGCCTGCAGTCGTTACAGTTCCTCACCCCGCACCACCTGAACGTCAGCGTGTACGCTCGCGAGGAAACCGTGTTAACCTTGGCACAGGTGCGACAGAAAACCACCGTTTGCATGGCGTTGTTATAGGATTCGAGTAGATCTCGACCGATCCAAGTTCGGAGGTTCCAGGTAACTGCTGCGGTGTGGGCAACGACAGAGGGTCTCCAGTTCGTGTGCCAAAAAACATGGAATCTTTGTTTCTTTGTTTCAGCAGTTGCGTTGAACCGGCATGTTCAAGGTTGGTGTGTGTAGAGTATACGCATAGATATCATCGTTATTTCCTCGGGCGTTGTGATGGATGTGATGAGCCTCACTGCTGCAACGGACGACAAACGCACATGCTGGAATTGTAACTAGGACAGCTGTGCAAAGTGCACAAGGCCGCGCACGAAAAGACGTGTGCCCCAGCTCGCTGCTGCCGGGCCAATCCCATCCTTTTAGGGGGTGGAGGTTTGGTAACGGTGCGAGTGCCAGTGGTGGCGGAGGTGTCTTGACGAGCTGCGTCTTGCAGAGGTTGCGCGCGTTGAGTGTGCTGCCGCTGTGGGTTGAAAGGGACCAGATGAAGTCTCGTCGTCAGCTCTTTGTTTTGCACCGAAAAAAGGAGCTTTAAGCATGTGTGCTTGCCCTGGCGGTGTGTGAGAGAGGACGATAGTCCTTAGCCAGGACCACGCTCGGCTGCCGTGACATGTAGGACATATTTTAGGCAGGCGAGAAATGTTTGGCGGTCAACGTTCACATGGCCCTTTCCTCCTGCTTGCTGGTGGAACTGAACAGACATGTTATACGCAGCCATTTTGAACGGATCTTTTGTTGAAATCTTTGTCTCATTTCGCCCCCCCAGCCCAACCCCCTTCCCCTCTATTACTACATCTGTCCCGCTGAATACGCAGGAGGAATTGCGCAAAATGGGTCGCGGGCGGTGCCCCGGAGACATCGTGTCACGCGTGGTGCGTTGCTGCGATACCCTCTTCGCCCTAATCTATCAGGGCCGTCGCTCCAAGCAAGGGGTCGGACGTGGTGGAGGTGGAGGT